CTGTATACCACACCCAGAGGCCTAGGGACTGGGCCACCTGGCTCACTGCTGGCACCCATGCATGCCATCCAGTGGCCTGCAGACTGGTCCTACTGGCCTGCTGACACCACCAGTGTCTGTGCACTCCACTCAGGCACCAGAAGACCCACCTGCTATTGCCACTGCCAGTGCCAATGCATGCATCCTACCCAGGGACTCAAGGAGCAGGCCTGCCAGCACCTGTGTGTTCCACTTGAGGGCCCAAAGACCTCAGGGCACATACTACCACCACTGACACCTGCATGTGCCACCCAGGGAACCAAGAACTGGCCCACTGCCATCACTGCTGATGCTCACATACCCCACCAAGAGGTCTGAGGACCAGCCCACTTGGCACCTCCATCCCCAGCAAATCCTCACCACAGCCTCCAAAAACAACTGCAGCCTATGCCACTAAGGAACTTGCAGATACCTCCGATACTGATTACAGTCAAAGTAATCACATAGAGACTACACTATGGTGCCCATCCAGAACCAAAGCAAAAGCCATGTACCTAACTTACATTATAGATACATCAACAGGAAAAAGTATTTCTTTATGGAAGCTACTTTATAAAATTGGGAAAAGTGACAGTTATACCAGCTGTAGAAATATCAATGTGAGAACACGTGAACACAAAAAATCAAGAAAACATGATACCTCCAAAGGAACACAATAATTCTCCAGTAACAGACCCCAAAGGTAAAAAAAATTCTATGAAACGCCTGAAAAGGAATTTAAAATAATTATCTTAAGGAAATCCAGCAAGATACAAAAGAATACAGATAAATACAAAGAAATAAGAAAAGCAATTCATGAGCTGAATGAGAAATTCAACAAAGAGATAGATATCATTAAAAAAAAACACACACACAACAAATCCTGGAGTTGAGGAATTCAGTGAATGAAATAAAAAATACAATTGAGTACTTTAACAGTAGACTAGACCAATCAGAAGAAAGAATTTCTGAACTTGAACCCAGGTCTTTTGAAATAATCCAATCAGACAAAGGTGGCACGGGGGTGTTGTGGAGGGAGGAAAAGAGGGAGGGAGAAAGAAGAAAGAATGAGAAGGAATGAGGAAAGCCTAGGAGACATGGGAAACAAGCAAACAAATAATCAAATTTTAGAAGTTCCAGAAAGAGCAAAGAAGGAAAAAGGCATAGAAAAATCCTGCATGTTCTCACTTATAAATAGGAGCTAAATAATTTGTACACGTGGACATAGAATAATAGACATTGAAGACTCAGAAGGGTGGGAGGGTCAGAGGGGGAGTGAGAAAGGAGAAATTACTTACCAGGTACAGAGTACTTATTCAGATGTGATTCCACTAAAAGTCCAGACTTCATCACTATGCAATATATTCATGTACCAAAATTGCACTTGTACCCTTTAAATTTATACCAAAAAAAGAAAACTTAATTAAATAATAACTGAAAACTTCCCAAGTGTTGGAAGAGATCTAAACATACAGATATGGAAGGTTCAATAATCCCCAAATAGATTTAATTTTAAAATGTCCTCTCCAAAGCACATTATGGTCAGAATCCAAAAGGTCTGGATCTCAGTGTGCATTACATGTGCCTCTTAAACCCTACTAAATATATCTTCAAAATTGCTACTCCTTCTCAAATATTTTACCTGACCCTGTAGTCAAATGTTTAAGCATACAGATAGTAAGCGAACAACTCTGGATTAGAAGTCTGCCTCCATGATTATTACATATGTGATATGAGAAAATTTCCTGATTGTTTTTTTCTGAGTTTTTGTTTCTTCATCTGCAAAATCAGGATAATAGAAAAAAAAAAAAAAACCTACATTGCAGGATTGTTGTGAAGGTTAAGTGAGGTAATGTGTATAAAGTGCCCAGCATTTAAGTGTTTGATAAATGTTAACTCCCATTTTTAAAAAATAATAAAACATGCCAGCTATTTAAATGGTGAAAACTAATTTTCATCTTTGCAGTATCTGCAAGGGAATCCAGGAAACATACAATCATACCTTTTCAAACTCTATAATACAGTAAGGCTATATTATAGTGGATACCAAGTACTAGTTCTTCATGTTCAACATGGCCATTAAATATGATTTTTCTCCTTGGCACTCTATCATCATTTGTATGACCAAATAAACACATTTTAAAATGTATTCTGCATATTGCTGAACTATGAGATGATGTTTCAAATATAATTTGTTAGCATTAAGAAAAATAAGACATATTTTAATGCACTGCCAAGTTTTTAAGTTCTATCAAAACAGAGCCAAATGCACAAGCTCTAAATAAACAGTACTCTTAACTTGGACATGAGTAGTTTTATACTCTGGAAAAAGATGACAATAGTAATTAACTTTTGTTCTGAGTTTACTGTATGCCAGCACATGTTCTAGCATTTGACATGTATTATCACAAAAAAATCACAAAAACTCCATTAGGTAGGTAATAATATTCCACATTTACAGAAGAGGCAACTAATGCATGAAGACTTCAGTAATCCATACAACTAGTATGTGGCAGCACTGGGATTTAATTCCAGGCAGTCTGGCCTGGCCCCAGAACCAATATTCTTATGTACCCTTCTTAACTGCACAGTAAGATGCTTCTGTTCTTCTAGGGTTTTTTATGGTTTTAGGTTTTACATTTAAGTCTTTAATCCATCTGGAGTTAATTTTTGTATAAGGTGTAAGGAAGGGGTCCCGTTTCAGTTTTCTGCGTATGGCTAGCCAGTTTTCCCAGCACCATTGATTAAACAGGGAATTCTTTCCCCATGGCTTGTTTTTGTCACGTTTGTCAAAGATCAGGTGGTTGTAGATGTGTGATATTATTTCTGAGGCCTCTGTTGTGTTCCACTGGTCTGTATATCTGTTTTGGTACCAGTACCATGCTGTTTTGGTTACTATAGCCTTGTGGTATAGTTTGAAGTCAGGTAGCTTGATGCCTCCAGCTTTGTTCCTTTTGCTTAGGATTGTCTTGGCTATCTGGGCTCTTTTTTGGTACCATATGAAATTTAAAGTAGCTTTTTCTTTAATTCTGTGAAGAAAGTAGCTAGATGGGAATAGCATTGAATCTATAAATTGCTTTGGGCAGTATGGCCATTTTCACGATATTGATTCTTCCTATCCATGAACATGGAATATTTTTCCATTTGTTTGTGTCCTCTTTTATTTATTTGAGCCGTGGTTTGTAGTTCTCTTTGAAGAGGTCCTTCATGTCCCTTGTAAGTTGTATTCCTAGGTATTTTATTCTCTTTTGTAGCAATTGTGAATGGGAGTTCACTCATGATTTGGCTCTGTATTATTGGTGTATAGGACTGCTTGTGATTTTTGCACATTGATTTTGTATCCTGAGATTTTACTGAAGTTGCTTATGAGCTGAAGGAGATTTTGGGCTGAGACCATAGGGTTTTCTAAATATACAATCATGTCATCTGCAAACAGAAACAATTTGACTTTCTCTCTTGCTATTTGAATACCCTTTCTTTCTCTTTCCTGATTGCCCTAGCCAGAACTTCCATTCAGGACATAGGCAAGGGCAAAGATTTCATGACTACAACACCAAAAGCAATTGCAACAAAAGCCATAATTGACAAATGGGATCTAATTAAACTAAAGAGTTTCTGCACAGCAAAAAAAACTATCATCAGAGTGAACAGGCAACATACAGAGTGGGAGAAAATTTTTGCAATCTATCCACCTGACAATGGGCTAATATCTAGAATCTACAAGGAACTTAGACAAATTTACAAGCATAAAACAACCCCATCAAAAAGTGGGCAAAGGATATGAACAGACACTTCTCAAAAGAAGACATTTATGTGGCCAAGAAACATATGAAAAAAAGGTCATCATCACTGGTCATTAGAGAAATGCAAATCAAAACCACAATGAGATACCATCTCACGCCAGTTAGAATGGCAATCATTAAAAAGTCAGGAAACAACAGATGCTGGAGAGAATGTGGAGAAATAGAAACACTTTTACACTGTTGGTGGGAGTGTAAATTAGTTCAACCATTGTGGAAACAGTGTGGCGATTCCTCAAGGATCTGGAACCAGAAATACCATTTGACCCAGCAATCCCATTTTGGGGTATGTACCCAAAGGATTATAAATCATTCTACTATAAAGACACATGCACACGTATGTTTATTGAAGCACTATTTACAATAGCAAAGACTTGGAACCAACCCAAATGGCCATCAATGATAGACTGAATAAAGAAACGTGGCACATATATACCATGGAATACTATGCAGACATAAAAGAGAATGAGTTCATGTACTTTGCAGGGAAATGGATGAAGCTAGAAACCATCATTCTCAGCAAACTAATGCAGGAACAGAAAACCAAACACCACACGTTCTCACTCATAAGTGGGAGTTGAACAATGAAAATACATGGACACAGGGAGGGGAACATCACACACCGGGGTCTGTCGGGGGATGGAGGGAAAGGGGAGGGAGAGTATTAGGACAAATACCTAATGCATGCAGGGGTTAAAACCTAGAAGACAGATTGATAGGTACAGCAAACTACCATGGCACATGTATACCTATGTAACAAACCTGCACATTCTGCACATGTATCCCAGAACTTAAAGTAAAACTTTTTTTAAATGCTTCTATTCTATCTTTTTAAACTCCAAGCACTTAAAGTACTTTCATTGTATATTTAAGTTATGCAACAAAACATTTAATACTATAATGACAAAATACATGGTAGAGCTATGGAATCAATTTTCAGCTATGTTACACAGCCAAAATATTTTTAAAGAGAATCTTATGCTTAATAAATATCTTTTGAAATTTTTGGCTAACTACTAAAATTATGACTAAATCTTAAAAGAACAAGGACTTAACTATGTTCATGTGGTTTAGAAAATAAAGGAATTGTTGCTTATCTTCATTTGTTAATCCACACACTTGTATTCTTTCATATTAAGAGTTAATTATTATATTTATTCTGCCTTCCTCCTCTTGGCACAGACCATGTAAATGGACACTGCACAAGTCCAACTTCTCAGAGTTGCAGTTCTGGAAAACGTCTTTCTAGTGCCGATGTTTCAAAAGTAAATCGCTGGGGTCCTGGAAGACCACCATTTCGAAAAGCCCAGTCAGCAGCCTGCATGGAGATTTCTTTACCGGTTACAACAGAAGGTATGTTAAACATATTAAATTTTTTTGGTACAGTTAAAATTTGGTTTACCATGGTAATGGGAACAGAGATACAGGATGGAGATCACATGTGAAAGATATTTAAAAACTACTAGTCAGTGAATACCTGAGAGCCTGATGGAGCTGTGGCCATAACTCCAACTCCATTCCTCACTCCACCTCCTTCCTCACCTGGAAAACCAAAATGTCTCTGCTTATAGGTAACTACTCGCTCCTCTGTACAAAGGGAGAGCTATGCCTTAATCTGTTCCCTACCCTTCCCGTAATAATTAAGAGTTTATTTTGATCCCAATGGTAAGCTTTTTGGTGTCTCTATCCGTCGATATTTAATGTATTGCAACCTTAATTTCCTCAATTGTCAAATGAATGTGACCAAGAACAAAGGCAAGATATTAAATTCTAAAGTTTTCTATCTTCATCTTCATATATTTTTAAAAGGAAGGTCTATTTGTTTATTTATGGAATGAGTGTGGGGCGGTGGGGGAGAGGAGTAAATTACAAGAGCCAGAGACCAGACATTTTTACAGAGGGACAAAAAGGGAATTTTGTAACTTTGCTGCAACTGTCCTATTGATAAGGAACTTTAGAAAGAGAGATAGGAAAAAAAAAATTTTAGGAAAATTTGCTATAGTAATTCTATGCTGTGACGTAAGTCTCTATTTACTACTCCTGAAAACTTTTGACAGTGATCTATATTGGTCCTCAAATTTAAAAAAATTATATTTAAGCGTTTGGTTTTTTTAAATATTATGCTATACTAAATCTGATCCCTTAGATATGCAGATAATGATGTTATTTCTCTAACAGGTGTCTATGAATATCAACTTTGTATGGTGATGAACCATGAATGGAAAAGATTTGGAGCCATATAATAGCTAGCATGTTATAAAAGAAGCACTATGTAAGGATTATAAAAGAAGTAGCCCCCGTTTAATTTTTATTTTTTTAAGAGAGAGGATCTCATTCTGTTGCTGAGGTTAGATTACAGTGGCACAATCATAGTGCACTGCAGCCTCTAACTCCTGGACTTAAGCGACGCTCCTGCCTCAGCCTCCCAAGCAGCTGGAGGTGCAGGTGCACACCACCACATCCATCTTATTTTTCAGTTTTTGTAGAGACAGTGTCTCACTAAGTTGCCCAAGGTAGTCTTGAACCCCTGGCCTCAAGCACTGGGGTTACAGACAGCCATGAGACACCACACCCAGCCAGAAGTAGCACTCTGAATCACTGTAATGAGAGGTGGGAATTTTGAATTTTAGATACTTCTACCTCTAATTTGTCCTGGATTCTGGGAAAATTACTAAACTCTAAGTCTGTCTCCATATCTGTAAAATATATAACCTCCAAACTCCCTCTTGTCTCTAAATTTTATGACAATTATTTTTATAAATTTGCTAAGAGATAAAAAGGAGAAATTAGAAATACTATATTTTGTTTCCTTTTCTATAAAAACAATTATGAGTTACATGTGTACCTATCAAGAGGAAAAAGAGAGTGAAGGCCGTAGAAAGAAAAATATGAAGAACTTGTATTCTGTAGATTATAAGAGCAGGACAACCTTGATAACATTTCACTGAGCTGTATAAGTTTATGCTTATTGGAGTGTGCACATGTACAAGTGTTGATGAGAGGAGAACCTGAAACCATCCTGTTTTTTTTGTGTGTTTTTTTTTTCAAGTGAGCTGAAGCACTCTCAGAAAGATTACCACTATCAACAGGATGGCATATAGTCTATACTCTTTGTTTAGCCCTAGGCAAAGTTAGGACTGGATTTGAATTAAAGGTAACAGCCTGAAACTAGTTCAGGGAGATAAAATTTGCATTTTGGCCTTGGTAGAAATGTTAATTTTTACAATTGTAATTACTCCAGATATAGAATATGTTTGCCACAGAAGATTTGTGATCCAGATAAGCCCTTTCATGCCAATCGTCACAATATTGTTTTTGGAACTGACAAAGTGTTAGGGACACTTCCAACAATTTAGAGGTAGGAGGGAAGCACAATTTCAGTGATATCGGAAATTCTTATAGCCGTTACTATTTAGACTAAATCTTTTTTCTAGGTAAAAGAATTTCAACTAACTTGTGAGTTAACATAGAGAAAGAAAAATGGTGAGCCAGAACTCAGGAGCCTCCAATTCTAGTCCTAGGTCTGCCTAAGCTTATGAATTATACTTCTAGACTTCAGTTTCTCCATCTTCAAAATAAGGGGTTAACTGGATAAGCTCCCTCCTAGGTCAATTAACAAACAATGTAATTTTACTTCCTCCTTGTAATTTCGGTTTTTATATATTAAATCCCTGATGTTATTGTGGAAATATGCTAACAATTTGTGTGGGGTTTTTTATGTATTTCCATAGAAAACCGAGAAAATTCCTATAATCGTTCCAGAAGCTCTAGTATCTCCAGTATTGACAAAGATTCTAAAGAAGCAATTACAGCACTATACTTCATGGAATCCTTTGCACGGAAAAATGACTCTACCATCTCTCCTTGTCTGTTTGTTGGAACCAGTCTGGGAATGGTGTTAATCATCTCCTTAAACCTACCATTAGCAGATGAACAAAGGTTTACAGAGCCAGTCATGGTATTGCCAAGTGGTAAGAGTTTGTATTCATTCATTCCTTCACTGTTAGTTTTTCAAATTTAGATATAAGGTATTATAAACATAAATTTGTATTGGAGCAAAGGTTATAAGTATTCTGCACAATGGGAACTATTAAGAATTTTATATATCATATACCATCCCAACATTTGTCATATTGTAGCTTTCCTTTGGAGTAAAAGAGTACAAGCATTTCTTTGGTAGTAAACTGTGGAAGTGCCAACCTGAACAATGACATGGTAAATAAGTTCCTGAAAAGCACTGAGGAAAACCTAAATGCAAAACTTAAATTTATTTTTAACAAATTGAAGCATTTACCCAAAGTTCCATGCCAGATTAGAGCATGAGTGTTTTTACATCATCCTTGAAGAACTCAGAATAATTAAGCTAGAAGCTGTCTGACCTAAAGTGGATTTCTAAAGACTTTTATAACCTTCTCATCTTGTTTCAAAAGCATGCCACACAATTTCTTTCCTATTCATGCTAGTGCCTAGAGAATTTGACCAATGTTATAAGTGTTGTTGTCAAGCATATGTTGTATTCTCTTCCTCCTTGAATTACCTTTTTTTTCTTTTTGAAGAAGAGATGAGTATGATTCCTCCTGTTATTCCTAATTTGTTCTTATCACTAATTTTATTGTTTCCCTATTTCCTATATAAGAATTTTTCAGATAGTTTTTAAGTTAAAAAATTTCATTAATCTGTAGGATAAGGGTTTTATTGTAAAAGGATATATATAGAAGGTTACAGTTGTGTTTCCTTTCACTGATGTGCTAAGTTCATATGAAAAGATTGTAGGTAGAATAGTCAGTTCTCTATTAATGTGGCAAATTCATATTTGTGTTTTAAAAGTTAATTGTGACGATTACTTTATTTTAACATATAGTTCACATGAAAAAATATATTTTACTATAGTCCTAATTGTGAGAAAATATACACAATTCTTTTGACTGGTGAATTAGTTGGAGTCAAATCAATGAGATCATAATGAATTATTAATTATTAATTCAATTCATTTTTTAACTCAATAAAAGATTACATATATTGGACATCTAATATGTACCAGGCATTCCTCACAAGTTTAAAGGTAAAATCAACTTCCACTGTCACACAAGTTTAAAGCTGTAAGTTAAAGACAATTTCCTAACTAGAAATATTCTAACAAATGTAGTTTTCTGTATCACAAGCATAGAAATAAGCAATCCCTGGACTAACAAAGCACGGTCTCTCAGTATTATAGGGAAATTCTTTGCCATTCTTAGCACATATATTTAGACCAAAAAATGATGACAGAATACAAAATAAGTATAGATTTAACTTTTGGCATTATTTTGTTAATATTTGAAAACTTTTTCTTTATCTACTTAATAAGATTTAATGGGAAGCTATCTTCTCCAAGTCTCTATGTCACTATTCTTTCAAGACTTTAGTTAATAATATGTGTCAACATCAATTCATTGGCTGGGCACAGTGGCTCATGCCTATAATTCCTGCACTTTGGAAGGCTGAGGGAGGAAGATTATTTGAGGCCAGGAATCTAAGGCCAGCCTGGGCAACATAGTGAGACCCCATCACTACCAAAATTTTTTTCTAAATATATATTTTTTTAAAAATTGCTGGGTGCAGTGGCTCACACCTATAATCCCAGCACTTTGGGAGGCCAAGGTAGGAGGATTGCTTGAGCCCAGGAGTTCAAGACCAGTCTGGGCAGCATAATGAGACCCCATCTGTACAAATAATTTTTAAAAATTAGCCAGGTATGGTGGTGTGCACCTGAGCCCAGAAGGATGAGCATGCAGTAAGTCATAATCTCACCACTGCACTCCAGCCTGGGTGACAGAGTAAGACTCCATCTCAATACAAAATAATAAATAAATTAATTAATTAATTCAAATGTGCCACACTTATACAAGATGTTAATAATAAAGGAAATGACAGAAGGGGTACGTGGGAACTCTTTATACTTTCTGTTCAATTTTCTTTAGATCTGAAACTGCTGTTAAAAATACATTCTTATTAATTTGTTGAAAAAAAACTGTATATAAAGGAGAAAACCATTAGTCTGGGTTCCCATGTTTGTTCTATAATTAACCATTACAAGAAAGAAAGCCTACTTGGGAGCCATAATTTATGGCAGTAAAAAGAAAGGAGGGAAAAGATAAAGGTGACAGAAAGCTTGTTTAAATTTAAAGTAGAAAATTTTGTGCATCCTCTTTCAGAGCTTATTTATTGACTATCTGTCCTAGTCTTCACCCTCCTTGCCATATCTATTTTCTTTCCTATAACCATGAGTCTCTGCCCAAGCTTATGGGAACTATTATGGGTACTGTTTATGTTATTATGGTTGCTGCCACAGCTAATGGGAACCATTAAAGAAGGTTTGGATTTAAGGGCATTTAGCACTTTTCCATTGTCAGTGCTGAATTGAGTGACATGCTCTCTGGCCTTGAATGCATCTTTTTTTCCTGTAAAAACATTGTTAAATAAACTTTTGTCAGTCGGCCCAGGAAAATTCATGAGTCAAATAGTTTCCTTAGACTTGAAAACAGTCTACTTTGAAATGTATCCACTCATTCAACAAACATTTACCAAGACCATACCACTGAAGTAAGCACTGGAGATACAATGGTCCCTGTTTTCAGAGACTTGTAGGGAAAAACAAAATTAAACACAAAATTACAATAAAGAAAATATAATAATGGAAATTACACTAAGAGAAATAAAGAATACTGTGGCAGCATGGCAGGGGGATTTGGGGAAGAGCTCCCTAACAAAAATAACATCTGAAGTGGAAGTTGGACAAGTTTGGGAGTAAGTGTACAGTACTGATGTTTAAGAGTAATTTGCGGGCTGGGTGCAGTGGCTTATAATTGTAATCTCAGCATTTTGGAAGACCAAAGTGGGAGGAATGCTTGAGCCCAGGAGTTCAAGACCAGCTGGGCAACACTGGGAGACCCTGTCTCTAGAGAAAAAAAAAATTTTTTTTGAAAGAGTAATTCAGTACAACGTGAGTAAAAATCTACAAGTAAGAGAGGACATGGCATAGCTGGAGCCTGTAGATAGAATGATACTAAATGAGGATGGAAAAGTAGGCAGGGAATGATTATACAGTGCCTTATAAATCGTGTCAAGAAGGAGAAGACTACCTAGTGTTTTTTGTTTTTGTTTTTGTTTTTCAGTACAAAACTTGTGATGCAAAACACTGGGTTGTTTTTTTTTTTCAAGATCTAGTTATTAAATTTTAAATTTTATAATTGTAAAAATCAAAATATAAAGAAAAAAATGAAAATTCTACCACTAGCAAACTTTGTCCCTTCTCTGTCCCCCTTCCCCTCTTCATTTCCTCCCCTAGGAATTTTACTCTCCACTAGCAACTCGGTGAGAAATTTATTAAAACTCATTTTAAATTTTATTTATTTCTACTGAACTCTTTATGCTGCCAACTATAAATTATTCTATAATGATCAGTTCTGCCATACAAAGTACCTAGCACTGCTTTGTAAGATATATATATATGTTATATATACACACACACATATAAAACATATATATATATATAGCTCATAATCAAACTCAAGATTTAAATTCATGATTAAAGTCAAGATTCTCCTTGACTTTAATCATGAATTCTCCTTACCCCAGTGGTAGGCTGCTTTTTCATTGCTCTAAAGGAATACCTGAGATTGGGCAATTTATAAAGAAAAGAGGTTTAATTGGCTCACAGCTCTTCAGGCTGTGCAGGAAGCATGGTGCCGAGATTTGCTCAGCTTCTGGTGAGGCCTCAGGAAGCTTCCAATCATGGTGGAAGGCAAAGAGGGAACAGGCACATTACATGGCAAGAGGAAAAGCAAGAGAGAGAGGAGGGAGGTACCATATAATTTTAAACAACCAGATCTTATGTGAACTAACAGAGAGAGAACTCAATAATCACCAAGGAGATGGTTCTAAGCCATTCATAAGGGATCCATCCTCATGATCTAACACGTCCCATTAGGCCCTATCTCCAACATTGGAGATTACATTTCAACATTAGATTTGGAGGGGACAAACATCCAAACCATATCAACTTCCAAACTAGTTATTTTTAACACTCTTTCATTTCTGTTAGTAGAATATTAACAGAAATATAATTAATAGCCATCATACTACCTAAATCGCCTCCATAACTTCAGTTTTTTTCTTCTGACCCTTTTACTCACTGCCTTCAAACTGGTCATATGCCAGTATTATTTTTATCATTGAATTTTTACTTTTGGACCTACCCTGTCTACTCTGGAGTTGTCCCAGCCTTACTCCCTAAGTCAAACTTATTTTCCAGCATTCAATTCCTTTAAAGTCTGCTTCTCCATTGAAGAACTAGTAAGTTAATTTATATAAATATGAAAATAGGTTAATGTGCTTTCTTATAGATATAATATGAAACTGGTTAATAGACTTTTTCTGGAAATTATTTAATTGAAATTAGAATGATAGTATTTTTAGTCCTAAGTCTAAACTTTGATGAAAAACTTTATTAAAATATTGTTTAGTTAAGATCTTTTGATATAAGATGGGTATATTTCAAATATACTTATGAAATTCATGCATTTTATCTCTTATAAACTGCAATAAGAACCAATACAATAATAGCATAGTTAAACATAATCATTACATTTGACTGAACAAGAATAACAAAGGCCTCATACAGAATACTCAACATATATACTCCCCATTTATAGGTTTCAATATTTAGCACCTTTCGGAGTTACCAGTATCTATTATTCTATTTCATATGTTCATGTGTACCCATTGTTTAGCTTCAACTTATAAGTGAGAACATGTAGTTTTTTACTTTCTGAGTCATTTTATTTAGGATAACAGCCTCCAGCTGCATTCACATTGCTGCAAAGTACAATGATTTCATTATTTATTTATTTTATTATACTTTAAGTTCTAGGGTACATGTGCACCATGTGCAGGTTTGATACATAGGTATACACATGCCATGTTGTTTTGC